ACTTGCCACGGTCTCCAACCCTCCTCCTTTCTCATCCGGGCTTGGGACCGGCCATGGCGGAGTTATGTTCCTATCGTTTATCTTTAATTCAGGATCTTCAGGATACTTCCTCATGCAGATGCTTGTTTACTTATATTTTATTCGCGTACTCGGTATTGAAGGATAAGGAAATTTTTTGAGATGTCGGTCTTCGCCACGCTTTCTTGTACCTGATCTCGTTTTCGGTACTCTTCAATCTTGGAAATTTTAAAGATGTACTTGTCCTTATTGTGATGCTATCCGCCAGGTAGTCTGTTGTTTTCAAGGCAGTATCTGAACTGTGGCGCGAGCAAAACGTACAGTTTTTTGCAACAGAAGTCAATAATATTTCAATAATATATCAGTAAGATGCGGAGTTCCTCAAAATTCAGTGCCGCGTTACTCAAGAAATTGCACCAGAAATCTCCACAGAAATTTAAAATTGCAAATTTTACATTTACAGGATTGTCGTATTTTATTTTCTATTTCTCTATCTTCAGTATTCTTCGTATTTTATGTATAATTTCGTTAATTATTATGCAGTTTGCTAATTCTGTAATTATTGCTACGTCCTTCGTCTGTATCAACACTTCGTAGCTCAGGGGTAGTATGCAAATAAGAAACACCTGTTTTTTGCTTCGGCGTATACTTCTACAAATTTAGATTTCGGCAGTTTCTGTTTGCAGCATCATATTTAAATGGTAAAACGTGTTTTCCAAATCTTTGATAAAATCCCATCATTTTACCTCTGAGCAGTTTGTTTGGCGGTATAATGTTTGATATCATGTTTGTTATGATGGTTGAACGCTTGAAACTTTTTTTTTTAATGCTGCTAATTTAAGATTCTGGTACTTGGATAATTGACTAGTTTTTATGTATTTTCGACAAGCCGCTCCAACGTTGCAAGACATTTTCATGTAAAAATTACAATTTAGTGCTCTTTCCGAATCCCAGAGGACGCCTTCGTCATGGATCTTCTGGTTGAAGTCGGCGCAAAATTCGGTGTTTCTCCTGACTGCGTATGTTTTGTTTTATTTTTTGCTATATTGACTAGATTAAATTAAATTTTAGCTGATCATGATCGAAGCGATGGAAGGCAGATTGGCACAACGGTTCAAACCGCAGGAACCAGTCAGTGGTATAGCGGTCAAGGATATAATTTTTGTGTAAATTTTGTTTCAGGTAACTGTAACTCAGTCAGTCACTGTTTTTGTATCATTAGGTTCCAACTTCTTGACCCTGTCGAGGTCAGAGAGGATATCCTAAACCTCATCGTCATCCAACGACAGTTTTGTGGTCGCGCTGTCTCATGTACTAAACAGTGCCACAACTGTGGCGGCCTCTTTCTCAATCTCAAGCACTGCAGGCGATGCTGGGAAGTGGCCTATTGTTGCACGTATGCGTTTTCAATTTAGAATGCTGAGGTGAGCTCTCCACATTAACAGTGTGTCGATCTTTCAGCGACTGTAAAGAGCAGGACAGCTTGGCGCATCGCGCCGTTTGTCGCCCGCCACCCCCAAGTCTGGTTGGCCAACCGTTCGTAGTGTCTATTCCGAAGTCAGCTGCCACTTATAACCGGCTGATGACAATGATGGAAGCTCGATCCAGGTACCATATACGAAAAATCATGTCGAACGGCTTCTAGTTGCATTCTTTATGTAGTGAATAAGTTATAAAATTTTTGAAGGACACAGCTCTATCTTTTAATTTACTTTCCTTGTTTACGTATTTTCAATTTTGCTTTTATTTTCCTTATTTTATTCATTTTAAAAAAAAGGAAACGCCGTGATTAGCGATTTTAATGCAGAGTATGTTTTTAGTACGCGCACAACTTAGATTCGTTGGCAGAAATAATCTATGACTTGCTTTCATCATTCCGCCTAAGGGCTGCCTTGAGTTGGCATGCGTGAATATTTTTTCTTTTTCGGTTATCATTATGGAGATAATCAGTACAGAATTACGGACTCTTATGTGGGCACCTCCAACTTCTGTTTAGCATAAACATCTGAACACTATGCGAAAACGCATGGAGAGTGAATCGTCTTTTCAAATAATACAATACAAACGATTAAATTCTGGCATTGAATTGGCGATTTTATTTGTTTATTTGGTGGTTGTTGATGGTTAAGTGTTTTCCATTTTGCGCATGCAGCTGTTTTCAGTTTCTCTGTGAATGTCTTCCAGCCTCCAGTTGTGGAGGATATTCATCATTCAACGAGTTCAAATCCGCTGTCTGATCAACTGAATGGTAACCTTTATGGTACTGTTGAGGTGATCCATTCATCGATGAGAAGCCCTGTGAGAAGCCGTGGCGTTACGATCACTGAGATTGAGGATATGGATGATGTAGGCGCTCAAATTTTGTTTACATACCACATGTTGTGATTGACTAATTGTAGGAAACTTCTGTGATCCCTGAGCCAGCCAATGAATGTGTTTCTGAAGAAACTCAGGTTACCGATGACTGCGTGAGCACGACTCCTCCAGTCTCGTCTCCTTGTAGACAGGTGCAGCTAGTCATTGGAAATCCTCATCAGATGCCGAGATCCATGCCACTTTTTTATTTCTCAGTTGGTGATTGCGCTGGAAATACAAGTGATTCTGGATGGTTCGTAGATCAAGGTATACTCGCGGTTCTGCGTTTATTCTCAGTATGATTCTTTTAAAAGTGACTTATAGTTGTGTGACAGGTGCGCTTTAAAACGTTTTTAACGGTTCTCATTTAATGGACTTTTGATTAATTTCTTTGCACTACAGTTGCCGTTAAATTCTTTGATACAGGTATACCATTACCGTCTCATTAAAGTCTATTCCCTATTTCAGCAGCGACTGTGACAAATTGTGTAGCAACTTGCTGGCAAAACATTTGCTGTGACAGTCAGCTGTCACGTTGGTCTGAATGGGTGGTAGCTGTTTAGAACATCTACATAAAATAAACTGCTTAACCTTTCGCTTCGTGTTTCGTATTTAAATTTGAACTAGGAGTCATATATTGCTGGATTTTTCTAGGCATTCTGATTTTTACAGTTTTAAACTGGGCGGACAGAAAGAAGCATTGAAACTATTTCAGTGTGTATTTCTGCAGACACCGTAAATTTCTTTGAGAAAAGTAATCACCCTATTATTCTATGGGCAATGCAACCAGCCAGAAAATGCGTAGCAAGTCGATGACCTGCGATCAACTTAGTTCAGCACAGTGCTGTGCTCGACGTGTTTCTTCCTCATGTCCTGATGTTACCGGTGTTGGTAACGAAACGTGTGTACTGCTCGTCAAACCTATTCGGTCTGTTTTACGTTTGGGTTTCCTAACCTGCGTCAAAAACAGAATCCGTTTATAAATTACAGACCCAGAATCAAACTTTTTCAATGACATTTTTTAAAGTTTAGTCTCTTCCACTCATTCTATGGTTCCAAATTATCTTTTGAATGTTGTAATAGCACTCCAGATTTCATTTCTCACTGCAAAATAGGAGTATTCGTTGTACTGCAATGTTTCATCTTCTTCATCTTCCATCGCCGCTTCTCTTTTCGGGTCGAGGAGGCGGACACGTCAGACGGAGCTTTCAACGTTCCCGATCCTGTGCCAGAGTCTGAACTTCGGCAAAAGACAAATGCAGTCTGGAACAGACTCCTTCCATATGTTTGCACCAGGTTAATCTTGACCGTCCCCTGGGCCTTCTGTCGGTCGGATTTGCAAGGAACAGTTGCTTAGCCTTCTTTTCTGGAGGCATTCGCAACACAGCCAAACCATCGCAGCTGTGACTTCTCAGTCTGGTCAAACAAAGGCTGTATTCCAAGGCTCTTCCGGATGTCACTATTGAGGACCATGTCGAGACGCGTAAGGCCAGCGACTCGTCTAAGAAAGCCAATTTCAGCAGCTCGTGCCCGGGTTCAAAGTTTTTCACTGATGCTCCATGATTCATGACCGTAGGTAAGTATGGGGATAAAGATCGACTTGAATATTGAGAACTTAGTTTTCAGACTGA